ACGCGCCCCTCGACCAGCGGCGGACGACGGCTGACCGCATGGCCTCGGGTGGCATCCCAATTAGAATTGTAATGAGAATAAGAATACGAATGCGAATAAGGAAAAGCTGAGAAAAGCTAAGGAAAAGCTTAGAAAAGCTAAGAAAAAGCTGAGAAAAGCTGAGGAAAGCTAAGGAAAGGCTGGTGTACCCCCTCCTGGTGCCAGGATAACGCTTCCGGGTGCCGGGTGCGTTATCCTTTCACCGGAGAGGGGGGGGGGGTCCTTAATCGCTTACTGGTTAACGGTCCCACCTCGCGAAGCCCACTTCGGACTCCCCCGTGCAATCCACCACCCCCGCGACCGATGCATCGACCCGGCGATGATCGCTGCGCCTCCTTGCGTCCGCGGGCGCCACCACTTCGACCTCCGCCACCAGTTCCGGCGACGAGTCCACCACGTCGATGATGGACCCCGACGCGTGCGTCGGGCACCCAACAGGGTTGCGGACCACGGACCCGAACTCGAACGCGTCGTGCAACCACCGCCACACATCGCGATCTAAATTCTCCTACAGGCACCTTGTTGATACCGCCCGACGCCGAAAAATGTACACCTTAGGCGATGCTTAAGAAAACCTAAGTTTTCGGCAAGAGTCTCGATTTTTCTTAACGTTTCAATGTAAATCCTAAGATTTGAATGGAAATTTTGGGTTTTTATTCAAGTTCTGAGACTATGAATTTCTTGACCCATGATTTCTTAAGCATTTCGCAGGGTGTACCCGTAGGAAGGCCTGCCCCCAGTCGGCGTAACGGTCCCACCTCGCGAAGCCCACTTCGGACTCCCCCGTGCAATCCACCACCCCCGCGACCGATACATCGCTGCGCCTCCTTGCGTCCGCGGGCGCCACCACTTCGACCTCCGCCACCAGTTCCGGCGACGAGTCCACCACGTCGATGTGATGGACCCCGACGCGTGCGTCGGGCACCCAACAGGGTTGCGGACCACGGACCCGAACTCGAACGCGTCGTGCAACCACCGCCACACATCGCGATCTAAATTCTCCTACAGGCGCTTGTTGATACCTCAGGAGGGAAAGAAACACACAGACACAATTAATCGTCGACTCCCAGGAAAATATGCAAAAATATGGGAAGTGGTGGGGAAGACAAAAACCCAGAAAATATGGGAAAATATGGGGGATAATGTTATTTGTGTGTATTTATTTGTGTGTTCCAGTTCCCCTTCAATACCGCCCAACGCCGAAAAATGTAGATTGAAGTCGCCCGCCACCAAGAACGACCAGCCGAAATAGCACGGGCCGGCGCGGAGCTGGCGCCTCTCATCCAGTCGAGTCCTCCAGAAAGCTCGGCGGACCCCCACGCCGTAATTGGGGGGTGGCCCACAAACTCCCGAGAAGAGAATCCCAGTGCGGGCCGAACCGCCCATGGGTACGGCAGCCTGAAACGGCCCGTGCATCCCCCACCCCCTCTAAAACGACGCGAAGATCGGGACAACATCGGATCGGGATGACTCGAAATCTCTGAGAATCGGCGGGTTCGGAGGATGCATTGGGCGCCGCGGCCGCTCCAGGGCGCTCCGGAAGGCTCTGAGAGCGCTTCGGAACGCTCTGGAGCGATTTATCCCGATCCTAGCCCCGTATGCATGTGCACATTTCCACGTATGCATGTGCATTTTCCACGTATGCATGTGCACATTTCCTGCCGATGCGCCGTCTGGGCGCGGCTCTCTGTTGTTGTTGTTGTTGCTGTTGTTGTTGTTGTTGTTGTTGTTGTTGTTGTAGCCCCGTTTTGCCCTCCAAGATATCCGCGCGACGGCCGACCTCGTCCAGGACGAGCAGCGCGACGGTAGCCGGCAGTGCACTGCGTCCACCGTGGGTGCGCGTGCCCTGCCCAGCGGGGCCAGGAACATTACAGGCGGGCAAGACAACACAAACCAGCCTGGGCGTGCCACGCGGTACGGCCAGACCCTCCAAGGAGGGAAGGGCAATACCCACGGGCATGTTCGATTTGTTTCACACCACACTGATCGATTTGTTTCACACCACGCTGATCAATTTTCCGGCCCGGCGCAATGCCGGGGAGGAGGACCCGCGCCGCCTCCCTACGGGCCGCTGCTCTCTCTCTCTCTCTCTCTGCCCAGCGGGGCCAGAGAGGCTGCCGGGGGCCAGCCTCGGCTCGGAGAGGGTTGCTGGGACCACCCCTCTGGCGTGGATCGGGGGAGCGTAGGACCCGGGTTTGCCGGGACTCGGGTTCGCCATCGTTTTTTGACGACCGCGCCTCGGATTTTGACGGGGAGGAGTTTCGTGGGATGTCTGCAGCGGGAGGCCTCGTCCAAATGCAGGCTCGGCCTCGTCATTTTTTTGACGACCTCGTCGGGGATTTCCGAGTCCCCCGTACCCGGGTCTTACGTCTCCCCGAATGGAATGATACGACAAGGTTCAGGAGGGGAAAAAACACACAGACACAATTAATCGTCGATTCCCCAGAACATATGGGAAAATATGGGAAGTGGGGGGAAGACACAAACACAGAACATATGGGAAAATATGGGGGATATGTTTATTTGTGTGTGTTTATTTGTGTGTCCCAGGGCCCCTTCAAAGGTCGCGAATCCTGCCCTCATGATCTCCTTCTCCACGTCTGGAACCCAACCCGCCCTGCACGTTGAACGCGGAGACGCGGATACTACTAGATTCAAGACGCGCGCTGGCACTGCCGCGTCCTGCGCCAGCTCGTGGGCCGGCAAACTTCCCACCCAAGCCCAGTGCACGGAATTGATGGGGGCGCCCCTCGCCTGCCGAGCCATCCAGGCTTCCACTTGAAGGCGCGCTCCACGCGCCGCCCCGTCGCAAATCCGAAAAGCTTCCAATTTTCCGGGGGTGCGCCAGAGAGACCGTGCGGGGGTTGCGCCATCAGGAGGGCCCGCGCGTCCCGCCTGCAGCAGATCGCTCTCCGGGCCCCCGCGCGGCCGCTGCCACCTGGAAGCGCCCTCTCGGCCAACTCCCGGAGTTCAGCCGCCGCGCGACTTGCCTCCTCACGGGTCGCCCAGCTGCCCAGCGTGGCCGCATCAGGGGGGCCCGCCCCGACGCCACCACCCGACGCGCCCGCCACGGCGCGCTCCGCGGGCGGGGGGGTGTCCTGACCCCTCCGAGCCGTGCCATGCGCGAGCTGGGCCGAGACCTGGCAGCAGAAAGGGCGGCGAAGAATGCCGTTCCACCCCCATCCGCGCCTGCCGGGCCTCCTGGCGGGGCCAACGTCGCCGCGGGCACAGCCTTACAACGCCGCGCATGCACAACCTCGCAACCCTCAGGGGAGGGGAGCACGACGACAGAGAAGCGAAAAGACGCCCCGCGCGGATCAGAACCTCCTTGACGGCAGAGGTCGCAGTAGGGTATGGATTACCCCATGTGGGCGTGGATCGATCCTCCAGTGCGGATAGAGCGGTACACCGAAATGAAAAGAACCTCGCCCGCACGCGCAGTCATGCCGCATGACCCACCCAGCCAAGAGGGGGAGGGAAGGAGGGTGCAAACGCTCCCGTCCCCGTAGTAGGGTATGGATTACCCCATGTGGGCGTGGATCGGTCCTCCAGTGCGGATAGAGCGGTACACCGAAATGAAAAGAACCTCGCCCGCACGCGCAGTCATGCCGCATGACCCACGCAGCCCAGAGGGGGAGGGAAGGAGGGTGCAAACGCTCCCGTCCCCGTGCCTGGCAGGAGACTGCAGTTAGGGTAAGTAGCAAGCAAGGGGCTCCGAGCGTGCGCCAGCGGTGTTCGGCAGAGGATCTGGGAGACGGGGCAGTCACCCGCACCTGCTCCACGGGGTTCGAGGTGGGCCGCCACCTCAACACCCCGCACCTGCGAGGGGCAGGCCACCCCGAATCCTTTTGACCCCCGCCTGGAGACCAGGCGCCCGCCCCGACAAACCTCGGGAGGGAACAAGGAGAGCAGACTGGGAGGGGGCGCCCTGTCCGGGCAACTGTCACAGGTAGCCTCCGGCAGAGAGGGTGTAGAAACCTGAACACAACCGGAGGGGGGGAAAACCTAAACCGCCCTAAGTCAGAGCGTGAATTACCTACCCCGCTTTCGCTTCCAGGAAAAACCAAGTCATACCACGCGCCTCCTCGTCAAGCGACCTGACCAGTACATGCCGTAGTTTGGCATCGCCTGGTATCTCTTGGAGCAGCGAGGGTGGTCAAAAGGGAGGCAGGTTTGCTCTCCCCCTACTAGGTGGCACCAAGAACGTCAGGGGGGGAGAAAGAGAGATAGGGGCCCGGTCGCCGGTGCTGAGCCTTCCGCGCCCCGTCGGGCCCCCCCCCCTGTAGGGTGGCCGGGGGGACTGTGCTTTCCCCGCGGGGAAGCACGGTGCGTTTGGCCGCCCTGGGGCGGCGCCTCGGGGGCGCCGGGGCCGGCCGCCGATGCTGGGTTCCGCACCCCGCCGGGGGCCAGAGCGCCGGGCCGAGGAGGGAGGCGGAGGAGGAGGAGGAGGTGGAGGAGGAACATGAGGAGGAGGAGGCGGAGAAGGAGGAGGAGGAGGAGGAGGAGGAGGAACATGAGGAGGATGAGGAGGAGGAGGAGGAGGCGGAGGAGGAGGAGGAGGAGGAGGAACATGAGCAGGAGGAACATGAGGAGGAGAAACATGAGGAGGAGGAACAAGAGGAGGAGGAGGAGGAAGAGGAGGAGGGAGGAGGGAGGAGGGAGGAGGGAGGAGGGAGGAGGGAGGAGGGAGGAGGAGGAGGAGGAGGAGGAGGAGGAGGAGGAGGATGAGGAGGAGGAGGAGGCAGAGAAGGCGGAGAAGGCGGAGGAGGAGGAGGAGGAGGAGGAGGAGGAGGAGGAGGAGGAGGAGGAGGAGGAGGAGGAGGAGGAGGAGGGAGGAGGGTGGCAGGAGGAGGGAGGAGGGTGGCGGGGGAGAGGGCGGGAGGAGGGTTGTTCTAAGGGCATGGAGGTCGTGGGGTGGAGCCCCTCTGGCGCGGCCGAGCGACCCCCCCGCGAAAGCTCAGGACGCCAACGGCGCCCTCTGGCTGGCTGGGCGCCTGCCCGCGACCGACGACGGCGAGGACGCGCTGGGGGGGGGCGCCTCCCCCCGCCCGGACGGGCAGGCGGTGCCGCTGCCTGGGCGTTGCGTAATCGGGGGGTCGTAAATGGGGGGGTGGCGAGGGTGGCCCGACAAGGTACCCAAACGGTGCCTCAACGAGCCCCCTGGGGCTCTGGAGGGGCCCGGAAGGGGCACGAAAGAGGACCGTTCCTGACCCCCCCGTTTATGACCCCCCCATTAAGCCACGCCCAGTCTGCTTTCAGGCGGTCGCGAACATGGATTGAGGGGGCGTGGATCAGCGACGGGTCCCGCTTCCGTGGGAAATCGCGGATTTCCGCCGCCGACCGAGGCGGCACCGGCGGTGTTTGGGGAGGGCATTCCCCACGATCCAGTCAGGAGGGGAAAAAACACAGACACAATGAATCGTCGATTCCCAGGAAGAGATCGGAAAATATGGGAAGTGGGACGGAAGACAGAAACCCAGAAAATATAAGAAAATATGTGGAATATGTCTAGGCCTCCTAGATGGGGTCGGAGTAGATGGGGTCGCAGGATTGCGCCGCATCGCCGATGCATCGGCGATGCGGCTCGATGAGGAGCCCGATTTTAGCCTCGCCGACGGTGCCAATGCATCGCCGATACATCGCCGGTGCATCGCCGATGCATCGCCGATGCGGCGCGATCCTCCGACCCCATCTACTCGGACCCCTATCTAGGAGGCCTCCAACATTTTTTATTTGTGTGTATTTACTTGCGTGTCCCAGGGCCCCGCGACCATGTCGATGGCCCTTATTCTTAAATGTGTGTATTTATCTGTGTGTATTGATTTTGTGTATTTATTCGTGTGTGTATTTATTTTGTGTATTTATTTGTGTGTATTTATTTGTGTGTATTTATTTGTGTGTCCATGGATTTGGCGACCGCGCGCCAGATCCATGGATCGCTGCTCCATGCCTGCGCGCCCCCGGTGCCTGCCGCCGGTGTGCGGCCGCGCCCGCCGTGCAGGAAGCGTCGGCCACGCGCGGAGGGGCACCACTCAGCGAACCACCCCCACCCCCTCCTCCTCCACCTCCTCCTCCTCCTCCTCCTCCTCCTCCTCCTCCTCCTCCTCCTCCTCCTCCCTCTCTCCTCCCTCTCTCCTCCCTCCCTCCCTCTCCTCCTCCTCCTCCTCCCTCCTCCTCCTCCTCCTCCTCCTTCTCCTCCTCCTCCTCCTCATTTCCAGTGGGGGCGGTCGGGGAACACTGACGAGACACATATGGAGCCCGTATCCCCCCCAACCCGAAACTTGGGTCTTCAGGTGTCAGGCTGGGGTGGTTTGGTAGGTAGTCAGAGGGGGGATAGGGGGAGGGGGGAGGCTTCTTGGAATCTAGGCCTCCCAGCCAGATGGGGTCCGAGGAGGTGAGGTCGGAGGATCGCTCCGCATCGCCGATGCATCGGCGATACGGCTCGATGTGAGCCCGAGGTTCCTCACGCTGGCGTCACCGATGCGTCGCCGACGTCGCCGATGCATCGTCGATGCATCGCCGATGCATCGGCGATACATCGGCGATCCAGTGCAATCCTCCGACCCCATTGACCCGGACCCCATCTAGGAGGCCTCTGTAGAAGGAGGCTGCATCTCGGACAGCGCGCGCCTTCTCTATAGATGTGGGGCCGGTGCCTCTTAAGAAACAGGTCTAAGAAGTTGTTTGTCCTTCCTACTCCCTTGTGCGCGCCGCCAAAATCGGGGACACGTGCGGGTGGTCACCGTGAGGCAAAGATCAGTACGATCTAATATTGGAGGACGAAAAAGATACCCATACCATTGCCTTTCGCCCGTTTGCCCCTTTGGGGGTCTCCTGGGAGGCCCTCGTCGCCAACACTCGATTCGCCTCGAAGCTCTGGTCAGAACGCACCCTGTGAGAGGTCCTGAAAGTCATTTCCCCAGTGAGGCAAAGATCGGTACGATCGAAGTGGGTACGAGAAGAATGGGCATGAAGATCGACAGCAGTTCCTGTCGATTTTGAGCAGGAGTCTGTCTGCGTCGCCGCAGACGTTGTTCAATTGAGACAGAATGCCGTCTGCCCAACAGCGGCGGCTGCCGGTTTTGGACCAATAGTTGTTGTTGGGTATCGTGCCCGTTTGTTTTTCCGTACCCATTCCGGGTATCCATAGACAGTGTTTATATATTCTTTGGCGATCACGGGCGTGATTGGGTGGGAGGCGGGAAGGAGGCCGGTCACGTCACGATTCGCGCCGTCGCCGTTTGGGAAAATAGTTAGGTACAGTAAATTCCCAGACGGCGCCGGCGCGAATCGTGACGTGACCAGAAAGAGGTGGCGCAGCCGGTCGGAAAAGTAGGATTAAATTGGCTTTGAGGGAAGCTGACCTTGTATGTGATCGCTTCGCTCACTCCGCCAGCCCTTGCTGTGCCATCGCAGGCGTTTGCCTGCGCGTTCGTGGCCTCATGGAGGCCTTTGGGGGGCCTTTTGGAGTCTCTTTATGGGCCTCTTGGCGGTATTTCTGAGTCTGAGACCTCCTGGGGTGTCACAGGGGCCTCTTTGGTTCCTCTCGGGGGTCTCTTGGGGCCTCTCGGTGGCCTCTTGGGTGCTTCTTGGGGGCCTCTTGGAGCCTCCAGGGGACCTCTCTGCGCCTAGAGCTCGAAATGTTCGTTCGGGTCCCCCGTCTGGGCCCGCTCTTGGAGTCGTCTTGGGATGATTTACTGTAGCGCTCTTCTGAGGTTCGTTGAAGCAGAGTGGGGAGGGGGAGGAGAGAGAAGGAGGAAGAGGAGGAGGAAGAGGAGGATGATGATGAGGAGGAGGAGGAGGAAGAGGGGAGGATAAGGATGAGGAGGAGGCCTCTCGATTCCTGTCTTGATTACTTATTGTAGCGCTTTTCGTTTGAGGGTTGGGGGTCGTTGACGCAGCGGGGGGTGAAGGAGGAGAGGGAAGACGGAAAGAAGGGTTGGTGAAGCAATAGGAGGTCTCTCGGGGGGCTCTTGGCTCTTGGGGACCTCTTGAAGGTCTTTTGGGGCCTCTCGGGGGCCTCTTGGGGGCTTCTTGGGGGTTTCTTGAGGCCTCGAAGGGACTGTTGTGCGCCTAGAGCATCGAGCTCGACATGTCCGTTCGGGTCCCCCGTCTGGGCCGTCTTGGGGGCCTCTTCGGCCATCTTGGGAGCCTCTGGGGCTGTCTTGGGGGCCCTCTGAGGTTTTTTAGGGCGCTCTTCGAAGCCTCTTGGGCCGTGTTGGGGCGATCCTGGAAGCCTCTTGGGCCGTCTTGGAGCGCTGGTAAGCTCCCAAGGCGAGAACGCCAAACACCTTCAAAAACTACAGGGAAATCACGACTTTCTGCCTCTGTGGGCCGTCTTGGGAGGTCTCTTGGGGCCTTTGAGGGGTTTCTTGGGAGCTTTTTGGGAGCCTCTTGGGGTCTCCAGGGGATCTCTCTGCGCATAGAGCTCGACATGTCCGTTCGGGTCCCCCGTCTGGGCCTGGTCTGGGAGCCTTCGGCCATCTTGGAAGCCTCTGGGGCTGTCTTGGGGCCCTCTGGAGCCGTTTTGGACGCTCTTGGAGGCCTCTTGGGCCGTCTCGGAGCGCTGGTAAGCTCCCAAGGCGAGAACGCCAAACACCTTCAACAACTGCAGGACAAATCACGACTTTCTGCCTCTGTGGGCCGTGTTGGGAGATCTCTTGGGGCCTCTTGGGGGCGTCTTGCAGGCGCTTTGGGCTGTCTGGAGGCCATTTTTGGTGTCTTGGATCGCTGTTGGGCCGTCTTGGGCCATGTTGAGCTCTCTTGGAGGCCACTGGAAGCTCTCCTGGAACGCTCTTGGCAGCCTGCTGGGACCTCTGGCCGGGACCTGCCCGGAACTTGCCAGAACTTTGCCGGGACTTGTTGGGACCTTTGCTGGGACCCCAGGGGCGGCCCAGCGCGCGCGAATTAGAAATATAGTTGCCGGAGATTTTAGCACGCCATTGGCCCGTTGGGCCGGCGAATTTTTGCATTTCGAGGGCTGTCGGGATCTTTCCTGGGCCCAGGGGACCTCAGAAAATGGTTCGTTGGTATGAAGATGTTGTCCTGGGAGGGGACCTGGGGGCGAAACCCGTTTCGACCCTTTTCCTTCATGCCAAAGGGGGGCTCATGCCAAAGAAGGCCGCGACGCTCGATCAATTCTGCCATAGCCGCCGGATTTTATGGATTTTCGATTTATGCTCACCCGTTTTCATCCTCGTCCTGGCTTCGTCTTACACTGGGGGGGGGTCCGAATGCATCCCGAACTGCGCCACGCTGCCGTGCGTGAGGACGGAGGGCCTGCGGGGGCCGTCTTCGGGCGCCGGCGCCGTCAGAAACGGATCCGGGAGGAACAAGTGAGTGACGCAGACAAGCGGGGTCGTCTTCACCGACATTGGGGCGGTAGCTCCCCGTGATAGGTCGCGCGCAAGCTTCGTTTCCAATGCAGCGTGCCGCTCTGGCAGCCCGCGCACGCCGCGGCGTAAGGTTGCTGTGTCATCTCGCGAAATGCCTGTTCCTTTTCGTCACCCAATTGGGAAGGGATCGATGCGTGTCTGGGGGCCCGCAGATTGATATGAATGAGTCCGTCGGATGCTCGGGGACGAGGAGGGCAAGAAGGGGAACCCGACAGTGTTGTGTTCCCTGAGCGTCCTGGGGAGGGAGAGGGCTACGCGCACCGTGCGCCCCAAGGCCCCATGCGTGTCAGGCGCGCCTGTTCTGCCAGGCTCGCCGCGTGCTCCTCACGCGCGACGTGTGCTGCGTGCTCCAGCCGCTCCAGCTGCGCGACGCGCGCAGAGTGCGTGCCAGGTGCGCCCTTGCGCGTGAGAGAGCACATCAGGAACCAGGTCGCCCCCACCACCACAGCCCCTGTTAAAAACCTATGCAACATGTTGGCGAGGCGTCTATCATGGTGTGTGGCATGTGCACTCGCAATCGCTACGTCTTTGTGTTTGAGAGGCAAGGACGGGGGCTGCAAACGTGGGGCAAAATGCTAACGCCCACCTGATCGCCGCTGTCATAGCACAATGCAAAGTGATCGCGGGCAGCCCCCGCATGCTCCAAATTTTAACCGCTAGTGCGTTTTGTGTTTTGGCATTGATGGGGGGGATGGAGGTCGGCATAATCTCGGGTCGTCGGCTAGTCGAGTGCGGGGAGCGTATATTGAGAAGGAACCGTGGTGCGCCCATCCCCGAGGAAGAGGGAGAAGAAGAAGAATAAGAAGAAAAAAAGAAACGGGTTGGAAGCGGAAGAACGCTGGACCATTTCCGCCCACAGGATTGGTCGGGTTATCGATCTTCTTCCCCAGCCATCCCTCATCCCTCTCGTCGTCACGCTTGCCCTGTCCTCCAAGGCGCCCCCGTGTCCGAGGGCCGGGCTGCGGCCGCATTGAGGGACACGCGCCAATGTCGGGGGACGCCCACCCATCTACCTAGTACCGGGAGGTGGTGGCTTTGGGTTACTGGTAATTGATGAGAAGGGGTGGTGATGTGGGAGCTTGGATCTGGGTTGGCACGCTGGCGCGGTCCCGACATGTGGTTGCGAAAGGAGGCTCGCACCCGACTTCGAAGTGCACAGGGCCACCATCACCTCGTTGCGCGGGGGAATTGCCGATTGTGCTGACGGCATCGGAATGCACTTTTTGCTTGTAGCGGTAGCCTCTGCAGCGACAGCCAGTGGGATGAGCAATCGTTGTTTTTTCAGGGCCCATTTTTCTTTGAGCGCCTTCGCATATATTTCAACACGCAAAGGGCTTCGTGCTTCCATGTTTGCCCGGGAGGGAACCAACACTTAATGTTCGTATACCGCCATTGGATTTTGCGTACCAGCGTATGTCTTCCACACGGAATAATATGCATCAGTTTCCGTCCTGGCCAGCTCAGATCTGGCTCGATGGGCCCAGCACCCTCCCTGGATCTCCGACGTCATGTTTCTCCTGTACGGGGCTTCGGAGCGTTCGACCCCTCCTCAGGCATTAGTTTCCTATATGGAGTGTTGAGCCGCTCTTTGGCGATCGCGGATCACCAAAGTGGCATCCAGACGCAGAAAGATCCCCCCACAAAAAAACAGTGCCAGAATCTTGCAATCGGCGGCGCGCCCAGGGAGCACGCGAGAGGGGGGCAGGCTGTCTGAGAAGGCGACGGGGCTTCTCGGGAGCCCCCCGCGCCTGCTCAGAAGCCGCGTGCGCCTTCGGAGAAGGCTTATAGGACGCTCCTCGGGAGGCTGGAGGTATTCTGAGCCTTCTGAGAAGCCCCCGTCCCCTCTGCCTTCCCGCCCTGGGCTCGCCGCCGCCTCGACACGCTCGAGACCTGCACCCCCCTGGCCGAGAGCAGCCGACGACGCCCCCGTGCCCAGAGGGCCGGGCCTGCCCCTGCCCGGCCCCCCCCCGGGCGTGCCGCCGGACGCGCGCGGCACCCGAGGACCGCGCCACGCTGCAGGACCGGCTGCGCCAGAGGTGGGACGGCGCGAAGATGGACGAGGCGCGGCCTCGGCGTCCTACCCTTCCTCCTCAGACTCCTTAGACTCCTCTTCCTCCTCCTCCTCTCCTCCTCCCCCCCCCCTCTCCTCCTCCTCCCCCCTCCTCCTCCTCCTCCTCTTCCTCCTTCTCCTCCTCCTCCTCCTCCTCCTCCTCCTCCTCTCTCTAGGCTTCCCAGATGGGGTTGGAGTAGATGAGGTCGGAGGGTCGCGCCGCATCGCCGATGGATCGGCAATGCGGCTCGATGTGGAACCCGATGGGCAACATGCCGACGGCGCCACTGCTTTGCCGACGTCGCCGATGCATTGCTTTTGCGATGCATCGGCAATGGATCGGCGATGCGGCGCGATCCTCCGACCCCACCTACTCGGACCTCATCTGGGAGACCTCCTATTCTGGCCCCCTCCTCCTCCTCCTCCTCCCTCCTCCTCCTCCTCCTCCTCCTCCTCTGGGGCAGTGCCAGCCCGGCTGGCGCAGGCCTGGCGGCGCGCAGAGCCCATGCCGTCGACGAGATGAGTCAAGCAGTGGCGAAACGTCCGGGCTTGCAGCAGGCCAGCCAGAGGATCTTCGAAGAACCTGTTTGTGGTTTGCGCGACATGTTCTTAGAACATGTCTGGTTCTTATCTTTGTGTTTGAAGACGTCGGCCGAATGCTCTAAGAACCTTTGTTGGTTTGGTTGGAGCCTTCCTTTGTTCGAAGAGCATGGCGTGGTAGGCCTATAGGAACGCCGAGACGGTCGGCCCCTGCTCAAATGAATTGTGCAGTCCATGCGTGGCCTCCGTCGATTTACCTGGACGCTCCGACTGCGCCGAGCCTCCGCCGGCGCTGCGACTGGAAAGCATGTCTGCCCTGAGCTCGGCCTCCTGGGCTCCGCTGTCGGGCCTTCTTGGGCCATGCCACATGGATCTGGGACGAGTGCCCTGGCTGCCCCCCTCTGGCAGGGGTCGGGACATCTTGGTCCTGGCATCGCTTGGACGCGTGGATTTTTTCCTCGGCGAGGACCATCGAGGACCATCCTCGACCAAAGAGCCCAAACAACACGCACGAAACCGAAAGAAGCCCAAAACATGGACGTCCGAGCGATGGCGAGTGGTTCGCTCCCGGAGCAGATCACGTGCTCGGATGTCTGGGGATGGGGGCCCCTCGCGTCGTGCAGCAGTTCACAGGACGGACGTTGACGGCTGGGTCGTTTCCGGCTTCTTGGGGCTGTCGCCGAGTCAACGGCACCGTAACGGGTACTTACTAACGGGTACTTTGATTTTTTGCCGAAAGTTGCCATTTTAGGGCCTTTTTCTTGCATTGCAGCTTTGCCCACATCGGGAAGGGTTGGGTTCGCTGGGTCACTGGCCAAAGTAACCGTTAGTGGAGTCCCCGTTTGAGGGGCGCTGACCGAGCCCTGGGGCTGTCCAGAGAAAACCGCGGCGGGTGAACACCGATGATCCTCAGGACGTGTTTTAGTCCGATGTGTGTCCGCTCAGCTCCACCGATGGCACGCAGCCTGCGACGGATCTCGTCGCACCGCCTGCGTCGTGCTTCAGGGCCTCGGTGGACAGGCGCACGCTGGCGCTGACAGCACGTTCTGAGGGTCATCATGACAAGCCGCTTCCGAGTGAAGGTTGAGGGTATCGAGAGGTCCAGGGGTGCACGCTGCGACGAGGATCACGAACGTCGGGAGATTATCCTGTGGCAGCGCTCGCCGTCTAGGCCGGCGAATGATTTCGGCGGCGGGAGGTTTGGGTTTGACTTGAAGCCGAAAGATGTTTCGGGGAGGCCCTTCCGAGCCTCCAGCGGGCGCTTCTCGTCGGCACGGTTGGACCCCCCTCTGAGTTCATTCCAGTAGAGCCCCAGGGGGGGGGGGGGAGGGGGAGGGCAGTGGAGCCCCAGTCGGACCAGACGAGAGGGTAGGAGAGAGAGAACGGGGGGGAATTACATCTGCGAGAGAGTGCTTCCTGCCGCTCCCGGTGGGAGGGGGGGAAGCTCAAACCAGAAATGGGACAAAGCATTGCCATTTGGAACCAACGTGCAACAACTTAAATACGAATTGTAACCACCCTGGTATTACTTCCGACCATTTTAGCCTGAATTCCAATCAACATAGGCGAGAAGCCTCACAGGCGCCTCTGAGAAGCATCTTACAGGCGGCTTACGGGCGTCTCCCATGGGCGTTTCTGAGAGGGGTCTCACAGGCGTCTCCGAGCGGCGTCTTACAGGCGCCTCTCCAAGGCGTCTCTGAGAGGTGTCTTGCTGGCGCCTCTGAGAGGCGTTTCTGAGAGGCGCCTTTTGGAGGGGTCTGAAAGGCGCCTCTAAAAGGCGTCTTTGAGGGGCGCCTCTGGGAGGCGTCGTGCATCTCTGAGAGGCGTCTCTGAGAGGCGTCTCACAGGTTTGTCAGGGGATTGTACTTGTTTTCTGGCGTTGCCTGAGAAGATGCCATACCTGTTCTTTCACACCGCCATCCACCTCAGCATCTTGAGTTCCATGGCCGTGTGGATGCAAATTCCAGTCCGCGCAGTCATGCTAGCTTCTGGAACATTCGTGCACACATAAGCAGGTTATTGAATCGCTTTGCTCATTCCGCCGGCCCATGTAGTCTCATCTCTGCCGTTCGCCCGAGGGATCGTTGTCAATGCGGCGCTGCTGGGGTCCCGAGGAGTCTCTGGATGGCGTGTCGTGGCACCGATGAAGGTCATCGTCAAGAAGCTATTGTGGGAGGCTTCGTGGCGCTGCGTGGTTGTGTAGGTCTGAGGCCACTCGGATGGCTGATGGGGTCTCGTGGGAGGCTTCTCGGGAGTGTCTGGAGCGCAGTTTGGGGGCCTCTCGGGGGCCTCCCGGGGTCCTCTTGGGGGCCTCTTGGGGCCTCTTGGGTTTTTTGGGGGGCTGAAGGCTCGGATTGTTGCATCGGGTTCCCCCTCTTGGGCTCCTCTTGAGCCGTCTTGGGGGCCCCTTGGGCCGTTTTGGGCGCCTCCTGGTCCCCTCTTGGGGCCGTCTCGGGCTGTCCTGGGCGCCTCTTGGGCCGTAGTGGGCCCTCTTCGGCCGTGTTCGGCCCATCTTGGGGGCCTGTTGGGCCGTCTTGGGGCGATCTTGGGGGTCTCTTGGGCAGTACTGGACGCTCTAACCCCCAAGAGTCGCAAATGCGAAAAATGCACGCTTTCGTTAGGAAATGGGACGACTTTCCCGGAAAGGGCTCGAGCCCAGGGTTCTCTTTCAGTGTGTTTAGCCCCGGTTCTGACGGTTGTAGGGCCGGCGCAATTATTTTGCGATGAATAATGAGGTCGCGTAGGGCTGGCGAAATTATGTTGGAGGATGTCTCGAGCGAAACGCTTGTTGTTCAGAATTTGTTGAGGATGCCTCGAGCGAAACGCTTGTTTGGTCTTATAGATTGTCCTCTCCTGGGGACCTGAATTCAGAGGATCTCTCAAGTGAAATGCTTGCTTTCACGTGTCCAGGTCTTGAGGATGTCTCGAGCGAGACGCTTGGTTTCACGCCTCTAGGTTGCCCAGGCAGATGTCTAGCATGAGGGTTTGTCGAGGATGTCTCGAACCAGAGGCTTGTTTTCACGTGGCCAGGTCGGCCAGGCTGATGCCTAGCATGAGGATGTGTCGAGGAAGTCTCGATCGAGACGCTTGTTTGCACGTGTCCAGTTTGACCAGGCGGATGTCTAGCACGAGGATGTGCTGAGAACGTCTTGAGCGAAACGCGTGTTTTCACATGTCCAGGTCGCCCAGGCACAGCACAGCCCTCGGCACGGTACATCAATATCGATACCCTTAAGTAGCATTGCAGCCTGGCATGTTGCCTGGCACGTGCAGCGGAGCGTCCCGTGGCGAGTCGCCCTGGCACGTCGCGCGGTGCACGTCCATTGGCACGTTCCGTAGCGCGTCCCCTTGGCAAGTCCCGCGGTGCGTGCCCATAGCACGTCGCCTGGCGCGTCCCTTGGGACGTTCCGCGGCGCGTACTCCTGGCATGGCCCCTGTCGATTAGTTCTGTGCCAGCTACCATCTGCTCAGGCAGCTCGAGCTTAAGATCCAGAGCAGTTCGGTCAGGACTCGGATGCCAGGGAGGACTCGATCCACAACGCTGTATAAAGCACAATCGCGGCATGGCACATCGCAGTTCAGCATGGCCCAGCACAGCACAGCCGTCGGCACGGTACATTCAGATCGATACATTCGACATTGCACTTTGGCACGTTCTTTGGAGCATTCCATGGCGAGTCCACCTGACTCGTCGCGCGGCGCGTCCCCTGGCACGTCCCGCGGCACGTCCATTGGCACGTTCCGTTGCGCGTCCCCTTTGGCACGTCCCGCGGTGCGTCCACATGGCACGTCCCCTGGCACGTCGCCTGGCGCGTCCCTTGGGACGTTCCGCGGCGCGTACTCCTGGCATGGCCCCTCTGTCGATTAGTTCTGTGGCAGCTACCATATGCTCGGGCAGCTCGAGCTTAAGATCCAGAGCAGTTCGGTCAGGACTCGGATGCCAGGGAGGACTCGATCCACAACACGATATAGAGCACAATCGCGGCATGGCACATCGCAGGTCAGCACGGCCCAGCACAGAACAGCCGTCGGCACAGTACATCAAGATCGATACATTCAGCATTGCATTGGCCCGTCGCCCAATCAGGTGTCGTTGAAACGTTGCCATGCCTTTCATTTCTATATTCCTTTCCGGTTTCGTGGGTCGATCATGTTTGGCTGTTGAGACTCTCTTGGACGGCCTCTTGAGGCTCTCTTGGGGCTTCTTGGCGGCGGCTTGGGCCGTCTGGAGGCCATTTTGGGCGTCTTGGAACGATCTTGCGGCGACCCAGGGCCTTTCGGACGGTTTCGGGCGCGTCTCGGGGCTCTCTTGGGGCGTTCCTGGGACGCTCTGAAGGCAGCGCCGAGGAGGAAAACCATCTCTGGGCCCCACTTGACCGGGACCTGCTTGGGGTACTTTTCGTCCAGGGGCCCCCAGGGGCCGCCCCGCGCGCGCGACTTAGAAGACTATTAACCAGTTACCGGAGATCTTAGCACGCTTTTGGCGCGAATATTTGATGTTGTCTTTGCGCGAGGGGGGGTGGCGAATTGGGGTTCCCTCTTCCCCAAGATGGGAGTTCAGCGTTCGATGCTTTTTCGCGCGTCGTGTTGTGCAAATGGTATGTGTTCAGCCGAGCGATGGCGATGGCGATGGCGAGCACCCTGTTGGGACCTCGGCGACTCCGCGGGGGCCTGGCGGGCGGGGAGCCGCAGGCTCCCGAGCAGGGCGCTGGGCTCCCCGCTTTTAGGAAGTTGATCCCCGGATACGGCCGAACGTGTAGCGTTCGGGAGCCTTGAGACGGGGGTCAATGCAAACGGGGGTCAGCCAGAGCGCCCGATCTTGCAGGATCCTGCACGGCCAGGGTCGCATTGAGCCGGGTTTGGGTGCAGGATCCTGCAGGATCCTGCAGGATCCTTCGCATTGACCCGGGTTTGGGTGCAGGATCCTGCAGGAGGTTGCGGGATTCTGCAAGGGTTGACTGACCCGGGTCTGGATTGACCCGGGTCAGAAGATCCCCGAAGCGTCTGTTTGGGCCTCGCTCGAGCACGAGCGGATTCTGGAGCGATGTCTGGAGGGCTGCTGCCGTTTCCAGCGGCTGCCGTGTCCCTCTCCTTCCCGTTGCTGTTCTGTGTGCATTGGGCGCACAGACCTTGGTCTGGCTTGACACATTCTCACCCAGGTGCTGACATCAGCTCAGGGTTCGGCAGCTTTCTGCTCGGTTTCCGGACTCCCCCGCGGTTCCATTTGATTCCTGTTGCGTTTCGTCCCAGAATTTACATCAGATGATCTTCAGTATCTCGCTGACAGACATCAGAGTCCGTGAAAGTTGCGTTACGTGAGTGGATGGATTCGGCAAGGTGCAACAGTGCTCTGTCCGTAGCCATTTGGGCTCAAGCCATTCTGCCTGGCTCAAAGGTTCGTCTGTCTTGCATCTCCGAGAGGCTCGCTTGTTACTGAACCATGCTGCTGGCCGTCTGGATGTCCATGGCATGCGCTGAAGCATTGTTCCTTCATTATCATGCCCACGCCTCTGGAACGAGGCCACGTGCCGAGGTCGAAAGCAGGTCATTGGAATATGCAGCTTTCAGTGATCCGGAGCCTCATGATTCTTCTTTAAAATATTATGATCAATGATGACCCAATGAATGAATAGTCTTCCTCTGTCAAATCTTCTGATCAATAATCAATGATCTTGATGACCCAATGATTTGTTTGATCAAATCTGAGGCTGAAGAGTCTTTCATAATAACAAGTTCTTCAAACCCTTTACCTCGCCTCGCACCTTTGAGCGACGCTCACTTCAATGTCCCCTTCTACGCGTATGACGAGGTGGATTGGATGTCCACAAACATGCACATCGCGTTGATTGGGAGACGCCCGCTCCTTTTGAGCAGTACATGTGGCTTTTTCAGCAGTGGATTTGATGATCTTGTCGGATCGCCAGAGACGCAGCAATTGCATCTCCACGGGTCGCTCGCGCTTGGTTCTTTGTATTTTCCGCCAACCCCAAGTCACCGACGGATGTTTGATCCGCTGTTTTGTCACGGTGCCTCTCCCGAGCACGTGCGTACGTAAGTATGTATGTATATAATATCAACAAATAGGCCCCCCCCCTCCTGGGAGTCCCACACCTCCCTTCACCACCCACCAAACCACCCCAACCCAACCCGAAGGCCTCAAATTGACCTCCATTTCCAGTGGGGGGGGGGTCGGGGAACATCGAGAAAACACACATGGAACCCGTACCCCCCCCCAACCCGAAATTCGGGTCTTCGGGTTGGGTTGGGGTGGTTTGGTAGGTAGTCACCTGTGACATGTGCCTTGCGCTCCCGCGCTTCCTGGCCTCCCGTGAAGCGCCCGAAACGCCCAAGGACAGCCCAAGATCACCCCGAGAAGCCCCCAGAACGTAAAAGAACGACCCAAGACGCTCCCAAGCAACCCAAGATAGCTTTCGGGCGGCTCACCAGGCTCCCAGGAGGCCTCCAAGAGACTTCAAGAGAGCTTCGCGAGGCCTCCCGAGAGCGACCAGAGAACCTAACATCGTAATTTTCATTGGTTTTTGTTTGGGTTTGGCCTTTTCACCATTTCATGCTTCCAATGCTCCAACACTGCCGAGGAGGCCCCCGAGACCGCCTCAAGACCGCCCAAAAGGCTCCCAAGACGACCCCGAGACGGGCCAAGAAGGCCCCAAGACTGCCGACCGAAGAGGCGCCCAGGACAGCTCCAGACCATCCCCGACCTGGCCCAAGATGGGCCAACAAAAAGTGAGCAGGAGGCCTCCAGAGACCTCCGGGAGGACTCCAGAACCCCCCATAAGCCCCCAAAACAGCCCAAGAGAGCTTCGAGAGTCGTCCAGAAAGTGCCCGAAGAGGGTAACATCGTTGATTTCTGCTGTTTTTCCCAACCATCCTGTGGTGTTGGGTCCTCGTTTTGAAGAGACGTCGCCCCGCGTTCCTTCCTTCCCGCTGCCCCCTCCCTCCTCCCATCTTCATCATCATCGTCATCATCCCCATCATCGTCATCGTCATCATCATCTGTCGTCATCATCATTATCACCACCCATGTCGGCACACCCCTCACACGTTTCGTGACCCCATAGGGAGCTCCACCGAAGGTCCCAGTGCGTGTGCCCGCATGCGTCCCGCACACTCATTTCGGCACACCCCTCACACGTTTCGTGGCCCCATAGGGAGCTCCACCGAAGGTCCCAGTGGGTGTGCCCGCATGCGTCCCGCACACCCATTTCGGCACACCCCTCACACGTTTCGTGGCCCCATAGGGAGCTCCACCGAAGGTCCCAGTGGGTGTGCCCGCATGCGTCCCGCACCCATTTCGGCACACCCCTCACACGTTTCGTGGCCCCATAGGGAGCTCCACCGAAGGTCCCAGTGGGTGTGCCCGCATGCGTCCCGCACACCCATTTCGGCACACCCCTCACACGTTTCGTGGCCCCATAGGGAGCTCCACCGAAGGTCCCAGTGGGTGTGCCCGCATGCGTCCCGCACACCCATTTCGGCACACCCCTCACACGTTTCGTGGCCCCATAGGGAGCTCCACAGAAGGTCCCAGTGAGTGTGCCCGCATGCGTCCCCCACACACATTTCGGCACACCCTTCACACGTTTCGAGGCCCCATAGGGCGCTCCACCGAAGGTCCCAGTGGGTGTGCCCGCATGCGTCCCGCACACCCATCTCGGCACACCCCTCACACGTTTCGTGGCCCCATAGGGAGCTCCACCGAAGGTCCCAGTGGGTGTGCCCGCATGCGTCCCGCACACCCATTTCGGCACACCCCTCACACGTTTCGTGGCCCCATAGGGAGCTCCACCGAAGGTCCCAGTGGGTGTGCCCGCATGCGTCCCGCACACCCATTTCGGCACACCCCTCACACGTTTCGTGGCCCCATAGGGAGCTCCACCGAAGGTCCCAGTGGGTGTGCCCGCATGCGTCCCGCACACCCATTTCGGCACACCCCTCACACGTTTCGTGGCCCCATAGGGAGCTCCACCGAAGGTCCCAGTGGGTGTGCCCGCATGCGTCCCGCACACCGATTTCGGCACACCCCTCACACGTTTCGTGGCCCCATAGGGAGCTCCACCGAAGGTCCCAGTGGGTGTGCCCGCATGCGTCCCGCACACCCATTTCGGCACACCCTCACACGTTTCGTGGCCCCATAGGGAGCTCCACCGAAGGTCCCCGTGGCGCAGTCCACATGCGTCTCCTTTGCCCAGTACAGCGTTACGTGGCCCCATATGGAGCCCCACCGCAGGTCCCAGCCAGCCAGCTAGCTCTCTTTGCTCCGCGCAGCGGGCGACCCGCGCGCGTCGCTGGGACTCCTCCGGGGCGACCTGCGCGCGTCGCGGGGGCTCCGTGCTGCGTTCCGCCCAGCGCCTCGCTCGCCCGTCGTCGCTCTGCCCAGCGGCAAGAGCCTTGCCCGCTATCAGCCAGCCAGCTAGCTCTCTTCGCTCCGCGCAGTGGACGACCCGCGCGCGTCGCTGGGACCCCTCCGGGGTGACCTGCGCGCGTCGCGGGGGCTCCGCGCTGCGCTGCTCCCGCAGCCTTGGACTTTTGAGTGCGCGGGCAAAGAGGGAGTAAAGGAAGGGGAGGAAGCGGGCGCGATCCTCGCGGGGGGGCGCGCCGACATTGGCGTCGCGGCGCGCGGGCGATGCCGTCGGGGAGTCCCGGGGAAGCTCCTTGCGGCGGCCACGCCCAGCGTCACGAGTATTCAGAGGCAGTCGTTGTCAAACTATTGGCATTCATACACATTTGCACCACGCTTTGTCATATTCGCATTCATGCACGTAGACTCGCTCGCACGCAGATCATTCACAGTCAGACGCACGCGCGCAGATTCACCCGCGCTCAGTCTCCCTACGTACTCAGATCAATCGTTTTCGTTCACTTTGTGTACCACGCCACTCATGTCGGCACGCCCCTAGCACGGTTCGTTGCCTCATAGGGATCGCCACCGAAAAAATGAATCACTATTGCGGTACTCGCACCTGCATATGGTTGGGTCCCTCGTCAGGCTAATTTTTCAACGGGTTCGCCTTCGCACATTTTCCCGCTTCCAACGCTCAAAAATCGAGGAACTTGACAAAACATTGAATTCCAGAGGTTCCCTACCTCTGCGGAACATCTGCGGAACGCTCCCAATACCGCGCCAAAACGCCCAAGGACAGCAGAAGACGACCCCAAGAAACTTCCAGAACGTGAAAGAACTGCCCAAGACGCTCCCAAGCAACCCAAGATAACCTTGGGTCGGCTCTCCAGGCTCCCAGAAAGCTTCCAAGAGACCTCAAGAGAGCTCCTGGAAGCCTCCCGAGAGCGCCCGGAGAACGCAGTATCGTTGATTGTCATTGTGTGTTTCACATGTGTTTGGCTTTCTCACCATTTCATGCTTCTGGCGATCCAAGACGGCCGAAGAGCCTCCCAAGACCGCCCAAGAGGCCCAAGACGGCCCCAAGACGGGCCAAGAAGGCCCCAAGAAGGCCCCAAGGCTGACAGTCTCCACAAGCGTTGGAAATCGCATGGCCGGAGCGGACGCCAGTGAGAGCGATACGGACCGAGATGTTCGCGCATTCTTGCCATTTGTCGCACGTAATTTGGAGAGACTATATATTTTCCTTGCTTTAGGTGCTGCCACTTCGTCAGCCAGACTGCAGCTGCTGCATCGCGCCTTGCCTTTGCGGGAAATTAGCCTGACGAGGGACCCAACCATATACAGGTGTGAGTACCGCAATAGTGATTCACTTTTTCGGTGGCGATCCCTATGAGGCAACGAACCGTGCTAGGGGTGTGCCGACATGAGTGGCGTGGTACACAACGCGAACGAAAACGATTGATCTGAGTACGTAGGGAGACTGAGCGCGGGTGAATCTGCGCGCGTGCGTCTGACTGTGAATGAATCTGCGTGCGAACGAGTCTACGTGCATGAATGCGAATATGACAAAGCGTGGCGCAATTGTGTATGAATGTCAATAGTTTGACAATGTCTGCCTCTGAGTACTCGTGACGCTGGGCGTGGCCGCCGCAAGGAGCTTCCCCGGGACTCCCCGACGGCATCGCCCGCGCGCCGCGACGCCAATGTCGGCGCGCCCACCGGCGAGGATCGCGCCCGCTTCCTCCCCTTCCTTTACTCCCTCTTTGCCCGCGCACTCAAAAGTCCAAGGTTGCGGGCGCAGCGCAGCGCGGAGTCCCCGCGACGCGCGCAGGTCGCCCCGGAGGGGTCCCAGCGACGCGCGCGGGTCGTCCACTGCGCGGAGCAAAAAGAGCTAGCTGGCTGGCTGATAGCGGGCAAGGCTCTTGCCGCTGGGCAGAGAGACGACGGGACGCATGCGGGCACACCCACTGGGACCTTCGGTGGAGCTCCCTATGGGGCCACGAAACGTGTGAGGGGTGTGCCGAAATGGGTGTGCGGGACGCATGCGGGCACACCCACTGGGACCTTCGGTGGAGCTCCCTATGGGGCCACGAAACGTGTGAGGGGTGTGCCGAAATGGGTGTGCGGGACGCATGCGGGCACACCCACTGGGACCTTCGGTGGAGCTCCCTATGGGGCCACGAAACGTGTGAGGGGTGTGCCGAAATGGGTGTGCGGGACGCATGCGGGCACACCCACTTGGGACCCTTTTTCGGTTGGAGCTCCCTATGGGGCCAACGAAAAGGGTGAGGGGTGTGCCGTAAATGGGCGTTGCGGGAAGCATGCGGGGAACCGCATGTGACCTCGGTGGAGCTCCCTATGGGGCCACGAAACGTGTGAGGGGTGTTGCCAAAAGGATTGTGTTGCGGGACGCATGCGGGGCACACCCACTGGGGACCTTCGGTGGAGCTCCTTGGGGCCACGACGAAACGTGTGAGGGGTTGTGCCGAAATGGATGTGTGCGGGACGCATGCGGGCACAACCAATGGGACCTTCGGTGGAGCTCCCTATGGGGCACGAAAACGTGTGAAGGGTGCCGACATGGTTGTGCGGGACGCATGCGGACACACCACTGGGGACCTTCGGTGGAGCTCTATGGGGCAAGAAACGTTGAGGGGGTGTACTTTGTTTGGCGAATTGGGATCAGGCGGGAGGGACGCATGCGGGCACACACACTGGGACCTTCGGTGGAGCCCCCTATGGGGCCACGAAACGTATGAGGGGTGTGCCGAAATGGGTGTGCGGGACGCATGCGGGCACACCCACTGGGACCTTCGGTGGAGCTCCCTATGGGGCCACGGAACGTGTGAAGGGTGTGCCAAAATGGGTGTGCGGGACGCATGCGGGCACACCCACTGGGACCTTCGGTGGAGCTCCCTATGGGGCCACGAAACGTGTGAGGGGTGTGCCGAAATGGGTGTGCGGGACGCATGCGGACAGCAGCACTGGGGCCTTCGGTGGAGCTCCCTGTGGGGCCACGAAACGTGTGAGGGGGTGCCGAAATGGGTGTGCGGGACGCATGCGGACGGCAGCCATGGGGCCTTCGGTGGAGCTCCCTATGGGGCCACGAAACGTGTGAGGGGTGTGCCGAAAGGGGGGATGACGAATGATGAGAAGATGGGAGGAGGGAGGGGCAGCGGGAAGGAAAGGAACGCGTGGGCGACTGTCTCTTCAAAAGCGGACCCAACACCACAGGATGGTTGGGAAAAATTTAGCCTGACGGGGACCCAAACCATATGCGGTGCGAGTACCGCAATAGTGATTCATTTTTTCGGTGGCGATCCCTATGAGGCAACGAACCGTGCTAGGGGCGTGCCGACATGAGTGGCGTGGTACACAAAGTGAACGAAAACGATTGATCTGTGTACGTAGGGAGACTGAGCGCGGGTGAATCTGCGCGCGTGCGTCTGACTGTGAATGATCTGCGTGCGAGCGAGTCTACGTGCATGAATGCGAATATGACAAAGCGTGGTGCAAATGTGTAGGAATGCCAATAGTTTGACAACGACTGCCTCTGAATACTCGTGACGCTGGGCGTGGCCGCCGCAAGGAGCTTCCCCGGGACTCCCCGACGGCATCGCCCGCGCGCCGCGACGCCAATGTCGGCGCGCCCCCCCGCGAGGATCGCGCCCGCTTCCTCCCCTTCCTTGACTCCCTCTTTGCCCGCGCACTCAAAAGTCCAAGGCTGCGGGAGCAGCGCAGCGCGGAGCCCCCGCGACGCGCGCAGGTCACCCCGGAGGGGTCCCAGCGACGCGCGCGGGTCGTCCACTGCGCGGAGCGAAGAGAGCTAGCTGGCTGGCTGATAGCGGGCAAGGCTCTTGCCGCTGGGCAGAGCGACGACGGGCGAGCGAGGCGCTGGGCGGAACACAGCACGGAGCCCCCGCGACGCGCGCAGGTCGCCCCGGAGGAGTCCCAGCGACGCGCGCGGGTCGCCCGCTGCGCGGAGCAAAGAGAGCTAGCTGGCTGGCTGGGACCTGCGGTGGGGCTCCATATGGGGCCACGTAACGCTGGACTGGGCAAAGGAGACGCATGTGGACTGCGCCACGGGGACCTTCGGTGGAGCTCCCTATGGGGCCACGAAACGTGTGAGGGATGTGCCGGAAAGGGTGTGCGGGACGCATGCGGGCACACCCACTGAGACCTTCGGTGGAGCTCCCTATGGGGCCACGAAACGTGTGAGGGGTGGGACGACATGTGTGTGCGGGACGCATGCGGGCACACCCACAGGGACCTTCGGTGGAGCCCCCTATGGGGCCACGAAACGTGTGAGGGGTGTGCCGAAATGGGTGTGCGGGACGCATGCGGGCACACCCACTGGTACCTTCGGTGGAGCTCCCTATGGGGCCACGAAACGTGTGAGGGGTGTG